TATAAAAAGAGCACGAAAACCTGGCGTTGGTGTGTTTGATTTGTGGAAAAGTCCACCGAGTACCCAGGCCTGGATAAATACAGTACCTCTGCTGAGCATGTGCACATCAGGCACAAATCCGCTTTTCAGGTAACACATCTAGAAACTCCCGTTCTCTGAATACCTTGCATTTGCAAGTCTTATGCGGGACGAATCCTTCCCCATTGCTCGGAGGATGTGGGGCAGGATCTCTATCTCAGCCCCACAGCGATCTTACTGGTTTCTAGGATGAGGCACTGGCATGTCCCTGCTGCCATCTACTCATCGCCGTGAGAGAAATGGGAGGATGGGACGAATGCTGAAGCCCTGGGTAGTGTTTTTATTTTCGACAGCTTTCCCACTTTGAGCAGTGATAGCTGATGGATGAGCAAAGCCGGGAATCCCAGCTGCTGAGAAAACTACAGCAGTCACACCAGACCTACCAGATCCTATCTCTGTCGACATTCAATTCAAAACCCATCATCATCATATCAATGTCATACAACCCAACCCCGAATTTCTTTTGTATGGCTCTCTGACAAACCAGTCCTCATCTCCTAAACCGGCCAATGCTGCAGCAGATCTCAGATCTCAAGAATATATTCTGGCAAATATCGATGGCCATTACCATTGCTTGAATAAATAAAGAGTAAACAGACAAATACCTCACAAAACGTCATTGTATCTCACCTGTACCTTAAAACCTTCTCTCTTACGGTGAAGGAAAATAAATAAATTTAAAAAAAAAAGAGAGACCTGAAGGAGGGCTGTATCAGCACAGCCCCTTATGCAGAAGACAAGTAAAGGTTAGAAAACTCTCCACACTACCTACCTGGTGGAGTAGCTCTAGCATATGCATCAACGCTGAGTCTCTGTAGATGACAGTATGATGACCTCCTCCTCTTCTCACTAATGTGTCATTAAAAAAAGTTTTCCTTCTAACTCTGACTATTCATCCAGTGGAGGATAATTTCTTTTCCTCCAGCTGCACCTATACATGACTTACGGTAACAAATGAACTACCTGTGAGAACGGGAAGTTGGTTTGAATTTGCAGTGTTTCAGGAGTCAAGAGGCAGCAAGCATATGGGCACCTCTGTATGAGGTCACGGGAAGGATGTGGATATTTATACAGGGGCGGGGGGACTCCACTGAAACAAATTGGGGTCAGTTCACTTCCTCATATATGGCGAGAATTATCTATCACAATCCCCACAGTCATTTTAATGCATCTTCACACACCGTAGTACCTTCCCAATCTGTTTTCAAGAGGAGACTGATGTCTCGTAGCTCTCCAATTTTCTCCCTTGTACCCGAACATGAGGGCCATGGCACAGTTAAGTCCCAAGAAGACGCAGCTAAGAACCAGTCTGCATCAGAGAGGGAAATTTTCTTCCCACATGCATATGTGTACTGGGTCTGGCTGAGCTGGAATTGGTTTTCCCCTACAGCAGCCCTCATAGTGCTGTGGTTTATGCTGGGAGCTGGCAGGGTGTTGATAGCACCCTGGTGTTGTGGCTACTGCTGACCAGTGCTTACACAGCACCAAGGCTCTTTCCGACATTTTTTCCCCCAGAGGGATGGGGGCGGGGGGCAAGACCTTGGGAGGGGACACAACCAGGACAGCTGACCCAAACTGACCAAAGGGATATTCCATACCATATGACGTCTGCTCAGTATAAAGCTGGGAGAAAGGAGGAAGGGGGTGGGGTCACCCTTGGTCCTCCGAGGTAACCATTATACGTATGGGAGCTCTGCTTCCTGAGAAGGCCCGACATCGCCTGTCCATGGGAAGTAGAGAATAAATCTGTTTGCTTTTTTTTTTGCTTCTGCTTGCTTATATTAGAACTGCTTTTGTTTTACCCACAAGGGTTAGTCTATCTTATTTTATTTCCTCTCTTTGCCCTGTTGAGAAAACAAGGGGAAGTGGGGGGGAAGTGATAGAGCGACTTGGTGGGTACCTGGCATTTAGCCAAGGTCAAACCACCACAGTGGAATTAATATCAATAATAAATAACAATAGTAAAAATGTGCTTAGCAGGGAGGCCAAGGAATAAGCATGTAACTTGTGCCATCATTTAGCTTTAGAAATCACTCATGGCGTGAGATGGTTCTTCCCTTCAGCCCTGCCTCTGCCTTGCCTGTGCCAGGAGCTTCAGCAGTTAGCTTGGGTCTTCTGAATTGCAACCAGGTGTCTGCCTTCTGGCACTGCAATGCCTCCCGTAGGAATCTAATGTCAGCCACCTGCAGATAGCTCTGCAGTGTAGCATATCTCTGTATATCTGTACCCAGCACCTGTAGCATCTGGCTATGGTTTCTGCAGATTCTGCAGAATTCCGAATGCTTTATCACATCACCAGATTTCAGGAAAAGTCCTTTGACTGTGGTCTCTTTACAGACATAGGACAATCTCTTCTAACTCCAGACATGCAACTTCAATGGACAACAGTTGTTTTGGTCTGTTTACACAGCTTTGCTGTGTCTAAATAATACTTGTGAGAAACTAATGTGCCAAGAGTATAAGGCACAGTTAACAGAACTCATATAATTGACTGTTGCTTGAATCATTAATGGTTTCACCTGGCATCTTTAACATCAGGTTTTAATCCTCATAAGGATATTATTCCTTGTTTCAGATTCTTTAATCTAGAAAATAGAACAGCCATTAAATGTGTCAGTTCAATGTGGAGGATGTATTTTTGGAAAGCCCTCCCTTGACTGTTTGCTTTTCCTGAGGCTTCGCTTACTTGGGCTGAGCAGTCTAGCTGCAATGTCACATAAAGCAGAGAGGAAGTCTTTCCCTCAGCATAAGGAGCAATTATCATTAAAGAACAGAGCTGAAGTCATGGTGGGTCAGCA